GGGCGCCCAGCGGCTTCCCCCGCATCCCCGCTCCCCAGGCTGAGTTTAACCCTGAACAGCTGCAGCTGCTGCTGCCGCCACACAGCACAACCCGGCAGACGTGGCCAGACGGGACTGCCTTCGCATTACGCATGCTCCACTCGCCACGCCGGTTCCGCTCCTCCCTCCGTGAATCCCACGAGGGAGAACCAGGAAGGGGCCCGGCCAATGGGCGCTCGCAGCACCGTGCGTCATGAAGCTTAGCAACCACAAGATACGGAGAGAGGCCTGCAAGGAAGTCCTAGGCTGGCCGCTCAGGCTGGGAGAAAGGGAAGGGGTTTGGGCTCTTGACGCTGCCAACCCTTCCTTCCCAACGCTTTGGAAGCGAGGCCTCTGCCGGGGTGATAGACTAAACCGACCCTCTACCGAGCGGTCAGCCTGTTGCAAGTTGCATTGAGGTAACTTGCAGGATTCCCTGTTCCATCCGTACGAGCTCGACCCTACGCATCATGCACAAATGAATCCAGCAAGGGAGACCAGACTGGCTTGCACAACTTGGCGTTGGGGAAGCATCTGAAGTTTCCGCTACTTGTCTTCCCATTCTACCCTCGAGCGGCTCCAGAGCGGCCTCTCCCTGTTCTCAGATCCACTGCAGTCCCTTTTATTGTCCAGCACACATCAAAAGTTTTCAGCTCAGAAAGACCTAAGAAACACAATAGGTTTTTAATACATTACAATTGATGATTGATGATGTATTTGTAGATCTGTCTCAGATGTAACCTGCATCTACATAACCCTCTTTCTTTGCCTCTTGGCCTCATTCCAATTTAAATCCTAGATCAGTTTAACCCAGTCTTTTTCAAACTTGGCAACTTTAAGATGTGTGGACTTCAACTCCCAGAATTCCCCCAGTCCACACATCTTAAAGTTGCCAAGTTTGAAAAAGACTGGGTTAACCACTCCATGCATCTGATGAAGTTCAAGAAAGCTTATGCTTTTTAATAAAATCTGTTCGTCTGAAAATGTGCTACCAGACAGACAAGGACCTCAGACAAATGAAGCGACAGATGCCCAGAATGCTGCTGGGGAAGGACCTGTCTCGAGTCTGACCAAACACTGGTATGAGCTCAAGCTTGGTACTGTACGTGCATTTGTTGATGCTTATTTTGTTACTCTGGCATTATATGTACTGTATATGGGGTTCCTTGGGGTATTCTATATAGTTATACAGCCACCTAAACTCTGCAGGAATGGGCAGCATACAAGCAATGTAAATAAATAAATGCTATTTAAATTTACAGCAATTGAAATGCTTTTATAATTATCACCAACTTGGAATATGAAATCTACAATGCTGCAACATCTTAGCTGATGCAGTGAACACAGTGAACCTAACACTGTGATCACAAGTTCCCTTTAATTATTTTAGCCCAATTGGCTCACTAGAAACTAAAACACAGTGGGCTCAATGTTCAGAACACTCATTTATCCCTAATTATTTCATAAATGATCTGCCACCGCCACCCCAATAGTTCTTTAATAGATACAACAATTGCTATTCCATACTAAAAGGATTAGGGAGAAATATACTCATTTGATTTGCCTTGTACAGACAAATCTATGTCTAAACATACATTTTAAAATTGCCACATATCCAGACAGAATGGACCATGAAATCCAGTATTCAATCCTTGAAAGTATTTAATAATTATTATTTAAAAATTACTGAACCCATATTAGGCCAATTTTGTCCTTTGGCCAATCCAACATCACAAAACAGTTTTACCTAAGATTTACAAAAGCAAAGTTCAACAACCAGATGAATCATATCTTCACAAAACAGTGTGCAGGCTAGTGAATTCTCCATAAAATTTGTTTATCACTCAACTCAAAAATTCTAGTGGACTTCGAAAACTTACACACTATTTATAATCTGAAATCACAGTTTGCGACCTGCCCTGCCAGCTTCCCACAAGCAAAGTCAATGAGGAAGATGGCAGGGAAGATCACAAATTGCTTGGGTAAGTCTCTCCTGCCTGCGCACCCTCCCTGAGCTTTGCTGTGCTTGTGCGGTGCCTCCCCAGCCACTCGCACACCCTCCCCAGCCACTCGCACACCCTCGCACACTCTCTCCCACCCAGCAGCAGCCATTCCAAGCCTGTCGCACTCACGCAGTGCCACCCCGGCCACCTACATGTCCCCTCACTCCCTTTCCCACCCAGCAGTAGCCACTTACCAGTCTGCCAGCCTGCTTGGAAGCTACCTGGGACTTGCAACTTCCTGCTGGCTTCCCCACTGACTTTGGTTGTTGGAAGCCGGCAGGAAGTTGCAAGGAGGTGCTCACTTAACAACAGCAATGGGGACTGTAGAGATTGCTGTCACTAAGCAATGTGGTCACGTGACATTGCAGTTTATGACCACATCACTTAGCAATGGAAATTCCAGTCCCAACTGCCATCATAACTTAGGGAATAAAGATTATGTCTATTTTTTGTGACCAAAGAAGTTATATTTGCTTAGTATTATTTGTCAAAAGGTTAAAAATAAACTAAGTTCTGCTTACAAGTATACAATCTCAAAACTATTAAAATTATCTTCACATTAAGATATCTGGAAGACTACCAGAACCTGGTTGCAAAACTCCAGACAACCACCAGATGGCAACAAACAGACATTTCCATATCTGCTTGTGATTAGAGATTGGAATGCCAGTTCTAAATGTTAAGGAGGAAAATGTAGTTGGATTGCATGGCTTAGGAAACCGAATTGCAGCAGGACTTACCAATTTCTGATACCTGAATGATTTCTTCATAGCTGACAATGTCTTCAAGTGACCAAAACAATGCCTACATACATGAACTTCACCAGATGGAATATATAGAAATCAAATTGACTATATTATTGCTAAAAGGAGGTGGAGGAGCTCAGTTACAGCATCAGTGATAAGCCAAGTGCTGACTGTCGAACTGATCACAAACTGCTCATGTGTAAGTTCCAAGTTAAGCTAAAGAAGAAGAAGAAAGCTAACCAGTTTCATAGATAAGATCTTGAGCATGTACCCACCATTGTCAAGGAGAACATCAGGAATCACTTTGAATTCCTGAGCCTCATTGATAGAAAACCAGAGGAACTATGGAATAAACTTTAAAAAGTCATTAAGGATGAATGTGAAAGGAGACTGCCGAAGTTGGAGAAACAGAAGAAAACAAACTGAATGTCAGAACAAGCTGTGGAAATCACAGAGAAGAGAAGCCAAAGCCAAGAAAGACAAAAAATCTCAAGAACAAACTTAAGAAAGAGTTCAGAGAGCAGTTAGAAAATACAAGAAGCAGTATTTCATAAATATCTGTAAAGGCACTGAAGATAGAAAGATAGAAAGACCTGGACAAACAAGGTAAGTCTTCCAAAAGATCCCTGAACTCAGAAGAAGGTTCCAACC